GCTGCTCTTCTACCTTCCTCTTGCTTTTGGCTCCCTTACCTCCCCCTTTCTTGTAAGATAGTCTCCTCTCAATTCTCCCTCAAGGGCTAAAAACTATGGGCTTCCTGGGCCTGGGGAAGGTTCATGGCCCAAGACTTAGAACGGTGGTCCCTGGGCCTGAGTTATAGAAGGAGGGTGGCTGAGTTATAGGAGGAAAAGGTGACTGTTTTGAAAAGGGCTTTGACTCCCATTTCTAAGATGTTCTCCTTCTCCTAGGTATACTACCATGTGCTGGGGCTAGGCGAACCTCTGGCCCTGAAGTCTCCGCGGGCTCTGAGACTCTTCTCCCACCTGCGCCACCCAGTTTGTGTGGAGCTGCTGACAGTGCTGTGGGTGGTGCCCACTCTGGGCACTGACCGCCTCCTCCTCGCTCTCCTCCTTACCCTCTACCTGGGTCTGGCTCATGGACTTGACCAGCAAGACCTCCGCTACCTCCGAGCCCAGCTGCAAAGAAAACTCCACCTGCTCTCCAGGCCCCAGGAGGGGGAGACTAAGTGAGAAGCTAACTCTGGTTCCAAGTCCTGTACTTCCTCTCCCTCGCAGAATTCAAATCCCTTGACATCCAGGTCCTGGTGCTTCAGACCAGAGGCCTAAAGCCATGGACTTCATAGAAGGAGCTGTTCCATCCACTCCACTCCCTGGGTCCATCTTCATACTCTAGATTCTGAGTTTCATCCACTGGACTTTAAGGTCCACTTCTCACTAGCCAGGAAGAGGGGGTGGGGGAATTTATCGGTCTCCTCACAGATTAAGGTTTGACACCCCCCTCCCCAACCTCCTCAAAAGAAAAGCCCCGCCTGACCACTCCCCTGGCACAGTTACTCGCCTCTGAGCCTCAGGGATGCCCTTCTCCACGTCTCGCCTCCCCTCCTAGAAGCTGGACCAGGGTCTGCAAGTTTGACACTAGTGGCTGCCCCTCCAGCCTCCATGCCTTGCATCTCTGCCAGCCCCACTGGTTGGCTTCTCCACCTCCTTAGGCCCCGCCCCTGGGTTCCATACTTGAACCTAGTTGAGAGGATTCTCCTTTTAATTTGGGTGACTAAGGGCTCCCTGTTCTCCTGAGGAACACGCGCTGCAGGAAAATAAATATCACATATAACACGCAGTCTGTCAGTGTATCTCAAGCTGCAGGGCTGAGTTAGGAAGGAAGGCAAGCCCGAGCCTGGGCGCATAAAACTCGAGTCTGGGCAACCACAACGCCCTCTGGCTACCACTGGGCGGCGGCTACTCCGGGCGGACCCGCCCCCACCTTCCCAAAGTAGCCCAGTCCGCCTTCCTCCACATCCCCCAATTTCCCTGCGGCAGACCATGGGACCCATGGGAGACGGGCGCTAAAAAGAGTGGGCAGCGGCTCCAGGAGTGGAGCGAGCTTCTAAAGCTACTGACTTCCGAGTGCCTCTTCTGCTCCCTCCCTCCCCACGGAACCCCCACTGCCTGGCGGCTGCCCGGGACCCCACAGCAACAAAGGCTGGCCCAAGGCTGGCCCGGGAGGCCAAAGAGTGGGGAGGAGCGGCAGGAGATGGGAAGGGCGTGCCCGGCTGCGAGCAGCTGCTGCTTCCTCCCCAGGTCCCTCGAGGGGCTTGAGTCACGGGCCGCCGCCCTGGGTCGGCGGGCCGGGGTGGGTGTCTGGACACCTGGGTTCTTCAGGAAAGGACTACCGGGTGAGAGTGGGGTGAGGGAGCGCTGGGGGCAGAGAGCCGAGGGCCGAGGGCCAGGGGTGGCGGCGGGAAAAAAGCCAGGAGTCGAGTCCCTCGCGGGGTCCGCGGGAACGAGGCCACGCCCCCTCCTCGGGCTCCGCCCTGCGCCCCCTTCCCGCTCCCCATTGTCCTCAGACAAAGCGGTCGCCGCCCCCCGTCCGGCCCCCAGATTTCTGTCTGTCCCCACTTGGCTCCCTCTTTCACTCCTCCTCCTCCCCCCTCCTCCACTCCCTCCGGTCTCCGGATCTCCCTCGATCCCTCTCTCCTCCTCTTCCTCTTGCCTCCTCTCTCCGGACGCAAGGCTCCTTCGCACCCCCTCCCCTGCGAGCCCCGCAGCGTGTGAGTTGACCGAGGGGCTTCAGACGTGGGGAGGGGCTGTGTCTCCTTGCTCAGTCCTTTCTCCAGTCCCTGGCCGGGACCTTGGGCTGACTCCTCTTTGTGCCGAGATTGTCTGTCTGTGCTGCCAGAGAGGGGCGGGGATGGCTAGCAATGTCTGGGTTCTTTGAGAGCCGAAACCCGGGCCCAGGACGCGCAGGCTCCGGAAAGAAAAGGCGTCCCCGGCACCGTCCGTGGGGGAGGCAGGCGGTGGTGACGCGCCGGGGTGGGGGTAGAAGCTGGGGTTCTGGGAACGCGCTGGCAGCCCCGGCGCCCGGGTTCTGAAAGTCCCCGGGGGAGGGTATTTCCCCTGGCCCGCCCTGGAGCGGAGGGGTGGGGGAGCTGGGAGGCGGGGCCCGAGCACAGCTGGAAGGGGAGCCGGGACCTCGGGGGCCCGTGCAGTGAAGCGCCAGGCTGCAGCGACAGAGCTCCTTTTCCCTTCTGACCCTGCGTTTCCCCTGCTCCCCTATACCTTTCCACTCTCCACCCCTCACCTCACCGACACCTGCTCAGGTCGCGTTGCCTCCACTCTCCGGCGGGATTCCCTGACCTCCCTCCTCACTCTCACAGCGCCTGGGGTAGCGGCGAGGCCACCTTGCCTGAATCCTGACCCCTCCCACCCACTGCTTCTCTTTTTCTCTCTTCTCAACTTCTCTTTTTGCATTTCTCCCACATCCTTGGGACTGACACCCATTAACCCTGTACTGTGAAATCTGACCCCAGCCTCTGCCCTGAATCTCCACTCTTCCTTTGCGTCACCCACCTCCCCTCATT